TTTTGATGCTTAATTTCCATGATCTAAATAATCTTAAAAATTAAAAGTTTGTTGTCATTTGGAAGTGTGTAGGCCTTCTTGCATTATTATGCTGTTACATTATGATTATATATTCAGTGGCATAAAATGGTCTTTAAAATGACAATAATATCACTATCGCAATTATTTCTGGGGCAATATATCGCACAACAAAAAGTTGTTATCGTGACCGGCCTATTCAAAAAGCAACTCTTAAAACTGTATAAAACCATATCACACCCTGATGAAGGCTCATTAGCTGCAACACATCGGTGTGCTGTCACTTGTTACCTGCTTTAAAAAATGCCTAAGCTATGACTGAATTAGTGCTGTGTTCGATACATCGATACGACGATGTATCGTCACAGAGATTTGACAATACGAGTATCGATACAGTTGGCCCGATAGCTGTGTCGATATTGTGGCACGTGTGCAGCAGTGGACCGCGCTTCATTTGAATACAAGAACAATGTTTAAAGTTGAGTAGAAAAGTGTGAGGTTTCTAAAAAATAATGAATAGAGCATAATATATAGGCTACAAGAAGGTTTAATCTGGCCACAGAGGAACACAACTGGGTTGCCTGATATAAAGAGACGTAATGTGTTTCACTCACTTTCCTGACGAGTGTGACTGACGCGCTGCAAACAGAGAGCTGTATATCTAATTTCTGTTCGCCTTTCGTAAGACAGATGTAAGTGCCGTTATGTACAGAAGCTTTGTAAACAAAACGAACGGTTCAAAAACTTAAATATATAAAAGTGCAGAGAGCAATGTTATGCATTTGTCGCTTCTCCTGCGCCATCGTTACTATTACAAAGCAACGGGGTAAACAGCTGCTGGCTTGATGACGCAAACGAACCGTGGTTCGGACCCAAATAAAATAATATGAACGCAGACCAGCGGGGGCAGGGGGAGGGGGGGCCAATCGAACTCAGGTTTGGACCAGGCAAGCGAACCAAGTGTGAAAGCACCCTTAGTATGGTTGTGCATTTAATACATCAATTTAGTGCACTGTTAAAAAAAAGATTTAATCATACCCCTGCCACAATAATAGAATATCTTTTCACATTAAATGTATAAATAGCAGTGGTGGGCCGTCAGGGCCAGCAAAGCCTTCTCTGCTGGCCTAAACACTATCAGAATTACTGATTTAGTTTTAATATATTTTTCCATGAATGTGTATTAAATTATTTCCAATAGTCTATTCTCTTCATTTCATAGCTTTTCTCTTGGTTGCACTGCTTCTAGCATAGGTTAATTTTCATTTTTGACTCTTTTATCGCTTGATGCGTTGTATGCGGATGTTATTCGCGCGATATAAAGCGAGGTTTAAGTTTCCGTAAGAATATCTCAGTTTCCCGAGTGGAGCTGTATGAATCGGTCTTTTCCTACGGCCGCAGCGCCGCTGGCAGAGGCAGACCAGCGGGGAGATGAGAGGCACAGAGGGACGTTAAAACACATGTACACACTTTTCTTCATCGTCTTGTATGAATTGTTTTAATGTTACTTGCTCACTTTCCTAGTAAAGCTGTGCTAACCAGTATTTTCCT